TCAGTGTAGACCTGCCCTGGGCTCGGATGTCAGTGTAGACCTGCCTGCCCCACGGGCTGCCTTAAGCTCAGGATGTCAGTATAGACCTGCCTGCCCCACGGGCTACCTTAAGCTCAGGATGTCAGTGTAGACCTGTCCCATGGGCTGCCCTGGGCTCGAATGTCAGTGTAGACCTGCCTGCCCCACGGGCTGCCTTAAGCTCAGGATGTCAGTGTAGACCTGTCCCACAGGCTGCCCTGGGCTCGGTTACCAGGTCTTTCTCCCCAGGACCACCAGAGGGTGCAGCCCCCCACCTTTAGTGAGCCTTTGATCGTGAGCTGTTTGTGCCCCTCCTCCACAGTCTGGGACATCCTCCGCCCACTCCGTGGACAGGGCCGCCTGACCCAGGAGTGGCTGACAGTAGCAGACAGGGTCACAGGGACTTTGCAGCCACAGCTGGCATTTCTGGAGTTACTGCCATCCTGAGCTACGTACTCTGTCCCCCTGTGGGTCTACAGAAATGCCATCCCCCTACCAAAGTCCACAGCCAACCCCCAGCCTCCGTCTCCCAGACACCCTGTGCCCGGACGGCAGAGGCCCACCGAGGGCAGGGCGGAGCGCGGCAATGGCAGGTTCTGACCATTCAGGGCAGCGCCAGAGGGCAGGGGGGCAGCCAGAGCTCACCCAGTACCCTGCTGCCTGGGCTCCCCTCCGCCCGGCGGTGACCCCCTCTGTGTCAGGGGAGGCTGCTCGTTTGGGGAAGCAACCCCCCAGGCCTTCCCTCTGAGGCACATCTGACCCCCAAACTTGCCCTTCGCAGAGTGCGTGTTAACCCCTGGCTCCGCCCCAGGACTGGGCCGTTCCCTCTGCCACACGCAACAAACTCACTGCCACCGAGTCCAGTCCGACACCCAGGGACCCTGTGAGGACAGGGCAGACCTGCCCCCACCCCTCCTTTTCCGTCGCTGTCATTGTCTGAGATGAACCGTCTCTCACGTGCGCGCCAAGTCTCTTCCACGTTCCTGCAACTCCTCATGGGAGTAGAAAGCCTCACCTCCCTCCCGAGGAGGAGCTGGTGGTTTCAAACTCCAGACCTTGTGGCCAGTGACCCAAAGCACAACCGTGACACTACCAGGTACACTCTCTGGGAGGGCATCCTGCGCACACTTTCACGGCCAGTGTGCAGGGCGCCTGCTCCAGCAGCCTGCAGATCCCATCAGGGGTCATGACTTTCCCCTGAGAGTGGAAACTGTAACAGACAGGCGGAGGCTGGGTGGGGACCCCGTCATCTGCCTGCCCACTGATCATTCCTTCCTCTTGGGCCCCCGAGGGCCACTCCACTCAGAGCCCAGCCCTGGCCCTGGGTGGTGGTCCCTCTCGGATCTGTGCCCTCCACCCCACCCCCAACAAAGCCCTCCTGGACGACCATCAACTCAATGCTGATGCAGCACCCCTCATGGGCTCCTGGCAGGCTATGTGGCTCAGCCCCAGGCCTGGACTCTGCCAACGGGCACAGCCGGCAGAGCCTGTGCCAGCTCACCTGCCAGGGAGGACGCGGCGCCGAGCGCTGGCTCATCTCTCAGTCGAGGTGCCAGGACCGAGGGTGACCAGGAAGAAGGGGAGGGCCTCGTGGGGACCTGGGGTTCCCATTACAGGCGGCCCTGCTGCCTTCCCAGACCCAAGACCAGCACCTGTTTTCGCCATTGCTACAGGAGAGAGCTGTTTCCAACAGCCTGTGCCCTGTTTATAGACATGTTACAAGCAGGGAAGAGGCCACCAGCCCTTTCCCAGGCTTGGTGCCACCCCCAGCTGGCCAGGGCAGCTGTGCCACAGCCAGAGCTCTGTTATGAAGTTGGACGGCTGGGCAAGAAGGACCCAGGAGGGAGCTGGCAGAAGCAGGCATTCCATCAACTTTCTGGCCCGGGAGAGACTAAAGCAGGGAAACAGCGCTGCCTGCCCACCCTGGGGACAGCGGGCAGGGTGTGGGGACCCAGATAAGAGGACAGATGCAACTGGCCCTGCCCCTCACCTCCCCTCACACAGGGAGCGGGGAGACAATGCCCACCACAGCTCCCTCGCACACCATCCCTCCGGTTCCCGCCCCACACTGCAGAACGTGTAGGCGCAGCATCCAGCCTGCATGCACCCCCGAATGTCATGGCCTGCAGGCCCCCAAGACCACCTTCAAATGGCTCAAGAACAGAGCTTTGTTTGGGCTTGCAGGTCACCTGGTTCTGACCTGGCTAGGCCATGCTGCCCCCTGTGAGGGGATGAAACAGACCCCAGGAATGGTGGCAGTGTGACCCAGACCGCATCTCCCTGGGCTGCGGAGTGCAGGTGCACATCCTATGCCCCTCTGGCTGGGGTTCTGCAGGCTACTGGGTCTGGGGCACGAGATGGGAGGCAAAGGTGGATCTATGCCCACACCCGAAGGCCCAGGACAGCTTCCTGGGGACCCATGGCCAACACAGCAGCTCCCAGGAGTCTGCCCGGCAGTGGAACTGAACCTCAATGACCCGTGAGGCCACTGGACCACAGCCTGCCAATTCTTCCAAAGCATGTACTCCCTGAGCTCGAAGCCTTTCTGCTCCCTGTCAGCTCCGAGTCTGCCTGACCCAAGGAGCCACCCTTTTGTCACCGGCTCATATCTCCTCTCACTTGTCACCAAGGCCCATGTGAATGCCAAGGTAGCAGACATCACATTTGCAGACCCACAAAGCAATGGGGCAAGGGACGGGTCGGTTTGCAGGAAAAAGGATCCCGAACACATTCCAGGTGCCTGGGGCCAGAGGTGGCAGCAGGAAGACCCCAGAAAGAAAGGCAGACATGAAAATGCTGGCACATATATTCGTGGGCAGATGGGCAGACAGAGGGAGGGAGAGGGGGAGGATGATAGATAGGATGGA